ACTTTACTATATTACAACCATTTTACTACACTGAGGCTAAGTTTCCTCCCTTGTTCAGAGCACTTCAAGGTTTTCTCTAAAGCAGCTTTCAGCCTCGTTCTGATGAGTCAACTGTGCCAACAGTAACAGTGCTGCAATAATCTAATATAAACAGGTTACGCTAAATGATTTCTTTTTGTTTACTGAATGCTACTTTACATTCTTCTAAACACCAAACCTCCCTCCTTTCCCTTCACTGAATTGAGTTTTCATTCACAGCTCAGAAGGTGAAGTCCTCCACTCAGGGAAGAGGTCATCAAATAGGTGGGTCATTTACTCCATCGTTTCTAACAGGCACACAAAGGCACAAACACAAACCAAAACAATCAGAAAATTGACTGTGGTGGTTTAGTTTTGCTAGCTTCTTGGCAAGAGTCAAACACACACAGACAGGCCCTGACTCTGCAGCCGCAGACTGATGGCAGCTGGGGCTGGGTGTATAATGCAATCTGATTTCACACAAGTGATGAGAACACCAGTGCACATCACTACTGAGAAAAGTGGGAAAAGAGAAGAAGAATGAGCAGCCATGACATGACACGGGGAAAGAAGGGATCACAACAGGGAGAAAAGGAGAAGGAAACAATAGCTTTTGCTGTAATGTACAGAATCTGAGATTTCTCCAAGCAGTGCTTCTCCAGCTATGCCATCACTGGCAGATGCCCAATCACCTGCCTTTGAGAGTGCAATAGCAACATCTTTTTTTTTCCCTAGCCAAGGCAGTGACTTGGGATATTCAACTGAGCCGGTCAGGGGTACTCAGATACCCTTAGTGATGCAAAGAAGACTTTAAAGATGCAAAGAGAGGAGAGATGGGACCTGCTGCATACACTATCTGCTTTTTTCTTCACATAAATCAGAAATAATAGACCTTAAAAGGCTGCTGATATTGTGAATTTGATCACTTCATGTTGTCCTACTCCAGCTGAAATTTCATGAATCAATAACCCACCAGTACTTGGTTCATTTGGAACACAAGCACCTTCTCCAGTCATTTATTTCCAGTCATTTTTTAATTAGCTGAATAGCAGGATGATTACATGTGGCTCAGCAGAAACAATGAGGAGCTAGCCCTGGATGTTTTAGACTGTTTTAGTCTTCAGGATCCCTTCATGGTCACATGACAGGAACTTGTTGTTATTCGGAATTTTAGCTGTCGAAGACAATCCTGAGGGACTCGAGCAGATCCCCAGAACAGCACTGTTCACAGTGAGATGTTCTGATATAATACCAGTGAGATGGTCCTATGTATTTTTAAACAGATTTCAGAAGGGCCTTCTTCATTTTTCATTTGGATGCACATAGAGATAAAAAAAAAAAATAGAAAGTATTTAAAAGTCCAAAATAAATCTGGAAGCTTTAAGCAAAGCACAAAAATTCAAAAATCTAGCCATTTGGGGGTTATGGCAAACTAATTCAACTATTCAATTAAACATTTACAATGGTTTAACATCATGATACCAATGTCCTTCTGTTTGCTTTGTTTTTGTTATTATTTATTTCCTATTTCCTATTTAGTGCCATGGAAAGGAAGGGATCTTAATATAAAAATAAACTATTTACCCTTTGACATCTGAATATTCCTAATCCTAACCCCAAAGCACCTGCCATTGTAGTGAGCTGACTGTCCATAGGTAATATGCAGAGCTTTTACTAACCCACATCTATACACTGTGCTGTAGTTGTGCACTGTCAGTAGTGGGAAATACCTGAAACACAACTTTTCAGTCAGTCAGAAATCTACCTACATGTCATGTAGCATTATCAACATGAGGCTGCATGCTGTTGACTTTTTAAAGAGGCTGTACACAAGTGTGTCTCCTTTTTTGGGCTCAAACACAGAATTAGGTTTAGGTTTAGGTATCATCAGTGATGTCATTGTCCTCACAATGTTCTTTCAGCTCTTAATCACACTCTGAACAATTAAGAAGTACTGCATTGTGATGACATTAGCCCCATCTAACCACTATTTATTCTACAGACTCTTTTCAGTCCTTTTGGATTGAATACAAAATTTGATGGAAACAAGGATTACAATAAAACAAGTAACAATTGATCATAAATTACATCTCATCGCATTACAGAAAACATATTACTGAACATATGACTAGTTTGTACTTTTTGTTCCTATTACAGATGTATTATATCTATAATAGCAACCCTGAATAAACAGAAGAAGATGGGTGGATTTTATATATTACTTGCACATTAAAATAGGTAGAAACAAGGCTTGCGGTTACAAGCTACAGCCTGTGCACTGGTTTGACTTTCAAGCTGCAGGTTTTTGGGGTAATTAAGGAGGCAGAAGGGAGAGAGAAATTCAAAACGTGATGCAATAACTGTGCAACAATTCAATATTCCTGTTTTACTGTTGTCTGTGGGAATTACAGTGTGACAAGACAATTCTAATTTTGTGTAGTGATGCTACCAAAATTAGAAGAGAGTTTAATAAAGAAACAAACAAGATATGGTAGTTTTTCATCGCAGTCATTATTGCTGGGTTTTGTAAGGCTGCAGATAATTGATAAGCATTATTGTAATCTTCCAGGTCTATTGTGACTGTACTACTGCTCTGATCTGTTACGGACACCTAGTGTAAGTATATTTGTATATATTACAAATAAATTGATGCTTATGCAGTGCAACTTATTAGCTGTGGTAAAACTCGTCTGGGCAGTTACTATGAATCATTACTTAAATGTAAGTTGTTTTTGGGACATAAAAACTACAAATATAGAATCACAAGCTGAATATAATAATAATAATAATAATAATAATAATAATAATAATAATAATAATAATAATAATAATGGCTTTAAAACTTTGCAAACACTGCCCCATCATAAGGTTTTAAAAAGCTATTTCACCATCTCTGCTGTTGTGAAATTTTCCTCTAGATTTCATTCAAGGATCTTGAATTCTTTGGTTCTTATAAAGTCTGTAGTTTTTTCTGAATGCACAGTCACTGGTTTACACATATCATTCCACATGGTAAGAACACGAGACTAAACGCTGGTCAGAGAACAGACCAGCTGGAACTGAAAATCTTCTTGCTGTTAATGATTGTTGAGTGATGTAATAAAGAGATTTCTCAGTGGTGATCTATTAAACTGATCGTGCTTACAATAAAATGTGACACGCAATTATGAAAGTATTATTTTTACGATTCGCGTGTCTTGTTTATACTAATGAGCAAAGAAACCAAAGCTTGACGTAAGCTGACAAAGTCACTATGAGGTTTACAGTATGGACTCCACCCCCTCTCCTCCTCACAGTACACAGAGGACTGCCATGCCTGGGAAAAGAAAGGCAGGGGGCTACTGTAGAGAACAAAGGGTTCCGTGCGTAAAACTGCGCATGAGTGCCACTGCCGTGCACGCGTCGCCAAAGCAGCGCGTTGTCTGTGAAAATGTGAGTTCACGTCAGCTGCCTTTACACCACCAGTGAGATCCTATTAGCTCCTATTACCTATGCACCTGCTCTCGGCACAGCTTAAACCCATCCCTGTGGCGGCTGCGTGGAGTCAAGGCGTTTCGGGCGTTTCAAAAGAATGCGCGACGCATCATGACAAAGGTTCTTGATCATGATGATGGAGGATCCATCCATGATGCTGCGATCGTTCCGCCGTTTGCTTTGCATCAGCACTATCAGACAAAGAGGATGGTATGCTTCCTCGAAATGCTGCATCACCGCATTTATAGCAGCATCACTCCGCTCCCTTATGATTCCAGGCTCCTCCGCTGCCGAGGCAAACACATGGCCATCAAACAATAGTCATGACGAAACAAACACTATTAAGAAAAAGCCCTGCCTGCCTGCACACACGCGTCTCTTTAACGACAGAGGGAAACAATGCAAACGCGAGTGCCTGCAGCCACCGATATGAAGCCAACTAATCTTACTGTAAACACAAACGAAGCACATTCTCATAAATCTTTTAAAGGTCGTAATGCATGGCAGCACGTGAGACTACACTGTTTATATATATATTATCCACGATCACAATTTTTTTTAAGAGTCACCTTAAAAATGCCCCTTTTTATCGACTGAGGTGCATCTCAGCACATTACTGACTCAAGATTGAATAAGACGCGATTGCAGCATCTCCTCACATGACAATGCAGCTCCGCGCACAAGGGTGCAGTTTGATTTAAAAATGCCTATTTTATATTCTCGAATATGATGGCAGACTAAGAAATATATATGTGTAATAATGAAATATGGGTTTAACGTCAAACGAGGGATTGACTGTTATAATGTGGATTAATGATAAGGTGTGCTTATTTCAGTTCAGTTTATTTTATTTATATAGCGCCAAATCACAACGCCCAATGGGCTTTATATTTTAAGGTAAAGACCCTACAGTAATACAATGATTTCACACAGAGTGAAATAAACTGGAATAGCGGTAGTAACAGTTCTAATGAGCTCCACATGAACTAGATGCACACATATTGAACGAGGAAGGTGTTTAATGACTCTGCATGTGGCAGCTCATCCTGACGGATCACCACCGACTACTTTACCATATTGGATAAAAAAACAAAAACAAAAAAACAACAGTACAGAGGAGCACACAGAGAGCGGTGACTCAAAGCATAACAGGATGCGGTACAGAGTTGTGTTTCACTCCTGAACCCGCGTTCACACCCCATCACATTACAGGCTTCAATATTCGTACCACGCGCCAGGCTTTCAAGATTCATGCGTGCGGTTCTGCTTTTTTCCCCTATAAAGTCGATTTTTTTTATGCATCTCAGCAGGGGGCTCTGTTGGTAGTAGCCCACTACCACTGCGTCACTTATGCAAGTTTGCGTCTCGGTTATGAGAGCATCAACAATAGACCGAGATTGAAAGCTAACAAAAAGAACAGCTAGAGAGCGAGAAAAGGATAGAGAGAGAGCGAGCGAGCGAGAGAGAGAGAGTGGTCAGAGAGGAAAAAGACGTGCACGCCAGCTCACCTTTTCCGTCCTATTCTGCTCGTACTCCAGCCCTTTTGTCCGTTTCCCACAAGTTCTTTCACATGATGACTCGGTTTGCCGTTTCCTCAAACCCTCCTGATTGCAGATGGATGACTTCTCTCGCTGCCGCAACTCGGTTCTTTGTCACTTACAAGAATGTTTATTTAAAACACACACACAGACAGACACACACGCTACAGTGTCTGTGATTTTACGATTTGTTGTGTACGTGTGCGCGCGCGTGTGTGCGTGTTGATCCTGCACGGCGTGCCGCTCCTTCTCTGCTGTTTGTTACACTCGACTGGAACGCCTACTCTCAGTCGCTACATTGTTGACATTCGCCCGCTGACGTCACTCATCCTCTCATTCACAACATCGTTAGTGCGACGCGGCGTTGCGTTGAAGCCGGCGGGAAGCGGGTGCGTAGTCCTTCGAAAGTGCGCAACGGAGCTTGGAGAATCGCACAATTCTGACTTTCTAGCTCAAATCCCTCCCCCTCGGCTTTCTGGACTCCCTCCCTCCCTCCCTTGCACACCATGCTTTCTCCTGGTCCTCCCTCCCCCCTCTCGTGAATGCAGCGGGAAAATTACGATTAATGATGACACAAGGCATTTTTTTCGCATGTGAGAACAATTAAAGGGGATGTTTAGCTGACTTATTTTCCGATCGCATTAAAAGCCTGATAAGGGAACACTGAAACCTATCTATTTTCTTTTCAAGTGTGGGAACTATTTTCTTTAATGTTTTTATTATTCACACGCTCCTCTACCATTTCTATTTATTAATGTGTTTTACTGAACTCATTACCTGACACACATTTGCAAAAAGAATAATTAATAGTTTCAGCTCCCAACTTCCACGTAATTAACAACACAAACGCCAGTGTATCAGAAAATATACTTAAAAGTACCCAAAGTAAAAATAATCATTAGGCAGATTCAGCCTTTTCAGAATCACATATTATTTATTTATAAATTATTTATTTATTTATTTACTTATAGCTATAATGTTATTAAATTACTTGTACATGGGATAACTTTTAATTCATTTAGAATTTATCTGTACAGTGCCCAACAACAACAACAGTTGGCAAAGACATTTATCTCTTATAACTTATATTAAGAAGACTGATATTTTTAAATGTGGATAATAATAAGTAAGAATAATCTTAGAAAATAAATGTTGTGTAACACAAAGCTCACTGGCCACTTCATTAGATACTTGTTCTACTGTTTGTTAAAGTAAATATCTAATCAGCCAATTACATGGCAGCCACTGAATGCATTTAGATGTGTAGATATGATCAAGATGACCTGTTGAGGTTAAAATTGACCATTAGAATGGACCGGAATGGTGATTTAAGTGACGCTAAAGCTGATATGGTTGAAGGAGCCTACTCTTAGTATTTCAGAAAGTGCTGATCTGCTGTGAATTTCCTGCGCAACTATTGAACAGTGTGAAGAAATAGCAGATATTCAATGAGAAAGCAGTTCTTTGAGCAAAAATGCCACTTTTAATGTCAGACATCAGAGGAGAATTGTCAGACAACTCAAATAACCACTTGTTATGCAGAAGAGTATCTCTGAACACACACAACAGTAAACCTTGAAGCAGATGGGCTACGGCAGCAGAAGAATACACCAGGTGCCACACATGCCAGCTGAGAACAAAAAGTGAGGCAACAGTTCATAAGGACTCGCTAAAATTGGTTAACAGAAGATTGGAAAAAAATGCTGCCTGCCATGACGAGTCTTAAATTGTACTGCAATATTCAGTGCTGGTGATGGTCTTTTGGCATGGCATGGTTGATATTTTTTGGCTATTTCCATTGCCTTTAGTACCCAGTAAGCATTGTTTAGTTGCCACAGCATATCCGAGTGTTCTTTCCGACTATAGCCATCCATTTATGACCACAGTCAGAACAAACAGACATTTGGGATGTAATGGAACAGGACATTCACATCTTAAAAGTGTCGCCAACAAATTTGCAACAACTGTGCAATGTTATCATATCACAGAAATACAGTAAAATAGCACTACACTAAAACTTTACTTCAATAAAGTGTTTAAACTTTATTAAAAGTTATGTTCCATGTCCTGTCATGACAACAGTTTGACAGTACTGTAGCACTCTGGCTAGTGTAAGTTCTTAAAAAACAAAAATGAAATCATGAAAAACTAATGAAAAATTTGTCACCTAAGAAATTCAGTGTTTTTATTCTGTGATCATTTTAATTAATGTTTATAACGCACATGTTTTGTGTGCAGTGTAAAGTGGGTCTCTACTAAATAACTTAGCTACTAAATAAATAAATAAACAAATAGATGTAAGCATCTAAGGGATATTGTGCAAATGAAGTTCAACTATGCCAAGCTTTCTTTGCATTAGCTGGCTTGAAAAAACCTAAAACTCCAGTTGGAGATAACAGGTATCACAGCAATTAAGAGAAAGTTATTAACTTTCCATCCTACTCAAAGGAGGTTTGGCTCAGCATGTGAAGCAGGGCATCTAGTAGTTGTAAAGTTATTGGTTTGATCCCTGACTAACCCAAAGTGTCCTTAGGCAAGATAATGAACCCCGAGTTGCTCCTGATGCTCCTGGAGTTTGAATCTGCGAGAGAAAACACTTTGACATAGAAAAAATTGGGTGAATGAAAAGCACTTTGAATGCTAGAGTAGAAAAGCAGTATATGCGGACCAGTCTATTAACCATTTTCAAATTCAAATTTTATTTGTCACGTACACAGTCATACACAGTACGATATGCAGTGAAATGTTTAGACAATTGCTTGTGACCTAAAGAAAAAAAAGGGAAAGGCTATGAATAAGATAGGAAATAAATATGAAAAATTAAAAAGGGTAAATTTAACTAGGAAGGAATAAAATATAAAAAATTAAGGTTAAAAATGAAATAACTGTACAACAAAAAACACAATACACAGTATAGAACTATATAAGAATGTATGAAGAAATATATATATATATATATATATATATATATATATATATATATATATATATATATATATACACACACACACACACACAATAACAGCAGCTGTACAAGTATTAACTGGAAATGAAGAATATAGTGACCAGTGTTGTGCAATCCACATTATGTCTTGTGCAGTGCAAATATGCTTAAAGTGATTTAAGTGATGAAGTGAAACAATGTCCAGAAAGTCCAGTGTGTGTGTAAGAACCATATGTGTGGGTCAGTACTGTGTGGTGGTGTGATTGAGAGACCGTATCGCCTGCGGGAAGAAGCTCCTCCTCAGTCTCTCTGTGTTGGTCTTCAGGGAGCGGAATCGCTTTCCTGACCTCAACAGAGAGAACAGTCTGTTGTTGGGATGGCTGAGGTCCTTCACGATCTTCCTGGCTTTGGTCCAGCACCGCCTGCTGTAGATTGAGTGCAGGTCAGGGAGCTCGGAGCGGATGGTGCGCTCAGCTGACCGCACAACCCTCTGTAGAGCTCGTCTGTCCTGCATGGTGCTGTTCCTGAACCAGGTTAAGATGTTTCCCGTCAGGATGCTCTCTATGGTGCACGAGTAAAAGTTCCTGAGCACCTTGGAGGAGCCATTTATTCTTCTTCACACAAAATGACCCTTATCAGTGCAGCCTTCTCAAATCAGAGACATTATCAGATAGCGATGAGAAAATGGTGATTGGAAATCTCTAAAGAACATACAACAGTAAAAAGCAGTGATGTTACAAATAAGACAAAAGATTAATGCTGCAGAAAATTGTTGCTTTTAGAATTGATCAAACATAGTGGTAAAAAGACATCTTAATTCCAGTTAATTATTTTATAGTTGAGTTTACTCTCAGTGCTACTGTTTGTTTCGAACATGTGGCTCTGAAACTTCATTGCGTGTCTCATATTTTAAATATAATTAGTTTCCTGGTAACACATTGGCATTAAAAAAAAGATTGTACAATAGGACGGACAGAAGACAAAAGAATGTCTCTATTTTCTCCTCAAACAGCTGACAGTATTATTTCATATGTTCTTTAAAAACAATTCAGATGTATTCAAGTTGCTCTTTTGTTGAACTGCAGTCAACTGTCAGTTGGGCCACAACTTATTACAAAAATTCGATCAACTCCTCACATCTGACACAGAGGAGGTCTTAGGAACCAAAAAGCGTCAGGCTGTGGGGCTGTTGCCAGTTTGCCTTGATGGTGGTGAATATGAGTGCTCATATTTCTCTTTAAGGAATATATTCTAATATTGTAATGTGCACACTCAAACCTGGAGACTGTAATTAGTGCAAAAACCACTTCGTTTTTTCTCGCGAATGGAAATGCAAATGAATGGTGCTTTATGAGCTGAGCGAAGTTGTGAAAGGGGAGTAAGCTGAAGAACTCTGCTCAGCTTAAATACCTGGAAGGCACTCGCACCCTTTTTGGACAAGTAAACACTCACTGGAGATGTTTTAATTTCTAACGGGAGAAATGTCCCCTGGGGAGTTTGCATATAATTATGAATTATCATTGTAAAACATACAGCCCCTTCTTTGTGGGGCTGTATGTATCCAATATCCAATTTACTTGGATATTGGATACTGGATATTCCACTGAGTGGCATTCAGAGAATAGCATTGAACCAACAATCTGAAATTGTACTGTTCCTGACATCAAAATAAAAAAGCCAGCAGTTTTTAAGGTGTTCAGATAAAAGGCAGGGAGATATTATACTTTTGTACAGTATGAATAGGGAGGTGGTGATAATAATTCATGACTGTGAGTTCATTTTATAAATTTTCTTCTAGTATAACTCATAAACAAGAATTTGTAAATAAGTAAGCCCTGATCATGAACACTGAACATGCAATTAACATGTAGAGAATAATGAAACAGTCAGAGATGAAACATGGACTGTCTTAATTAAAGGATATGTCAAGAAATCATCCTTCTGATGATCAAAGCTGCAATGCCTAGATAAGAAATACATATTTTTGCGGGCTTTCGAACTAAATAAAGAAAAAAATCATAAAATTAACATAAAATGTCAAATAAATAATCAAATAAACAAAAACCCCACATACTAAAAGCCACTCCATCTACCTTGTTAGGTTTGGAGGAAAATCACGTTTTAGCATGCATTACTCATAATTTAAACGTCAAATGTGGAAGAGGAAAATGAGGGCACCCATAAATAAGGAGCTAAATGACAACTGAAAAGCAAAGAAGTCTGTCAAAGGGTGATTTTGGGAGTCTAAAGACATTGTTTGACAATGCAGCAGCTAATCCCCCAGATTAGTAAAGATATTCATATTCATATGAA